GAGTAGGAAAATATTTCTTACCATAAAGCCTAAGTAATATAAAATATTTGATTATTTGTAAAATACTCAATGTAAGGTAGTATATACATTATTTATTCTCATGTTATTCCTTCTCGTGTATTTCTGTTAGTGTTTCCAGAATATTATTTAGAAACATCTGATTTATGGTAACAATGTAAAATGTATGGAAAAATAAGAAATTATTTGTGTAAGTTAAAAGAATGTTACTGATATTGAAAAGTCCTTTAAACTATATAAAATAATAAAATTAAGTTCTTTATGTTCTATACATATATGCGTGTGTGTGTGTTTGTGTGCTGATCAAACGAATAATTTTGTACAGATGTATTGTGTATTGTATAATTTATAAAATTTTGTTCTGAAAGAATGTTAATAAATTTTCCATTGCTTATCACTGTTAATTTCTTCCTTTCCTTCTCCTAAAATTATCAAACATTTCTTCAATCTGCTGAAATAGACATATTTGAAACCACCCGTTTACCAAAGTTCACCAGGTTTTGAATAAAGCCTGTAATTTTTATTCCCATTATCCGTTTGTTACTTTATATCATAAAACTATCATTCCTTTTATCTGAATGAGTGGCAATAAAGTAAGTACAATAATAAAGTACAATAATTTTTGCTTCTGAAGAATTGCAAAAAGAAGCATAATTTACCTTGTAAAGCGTATGTTTACTTTCTTACTTTAAAATTATCTTACTAACGCCTATATCTTCAGGCGGTTTCCTTTCTTGCACTACTTTAGGCAATGACATGTAACTCTTTTTTACATCAGTAAGCTTTAGGACTGATTGGCTCAATACCAGGATAGTAAAAAGAAATTGAGAATGAATTTTGTTTTGAGAATAATTTGAACAACAATTCGGTACTTAAAAATGCTAATCTTGAATGTATTCAGTAGAGACTATCTTGATGTAATCTTTCTCGAAATTTTCTTATTGCTTGGCCCAAAATATCTATCGCTCTCGGATTATGTCAAATCACGGCGAATGGGCTGGCTGCGTGCGAGTTTTAGCGTTTCGTCGTGTGTAACATGAATCTGAGCCATTTAAGTTCTCCAGCATGCATCCCTACCTTTAGGCAGATGGATATATTCTATCCATCTCGTCCGCCTTCTTGGAAACAGCCATTGATAAATCAAAAACATGGCTCGAAAACTCATATTTTCAAATAAGGAATTACAAATAGTCACAAACTGTTAAATCCAGGGCTATATGGATGGCTTGGAAAACATCAAATCTCTGTCTTAGCCCAACATTGGACAACAGCATATAGAGACATCAGGTATTTTTGAAGCAGGAGACGTGAAAAATGAGAAATGTTCTCGCCGGGAATCGAACCTGGACCTCTCGAATATGCGCTGAGTGTACCACCGTAACTCCAAGTAAGTATGCTAGAAAGAGAAAAAAAATAGTTTATATAGTCCTCCTTTTAGAGGGCGACTGGTGATTAAGGGATCCAGTCACCAAATTCTTGTGGTGACAAATTATCATCCACTTTTTTTTTTTTTTTTTTTTAAATTCGAGCGCTATTTGTAGAGTTATTAAGTTATTTGAAGCAGGAGACACGAAGAATGCCCTCGTCGTGACTCGAATCTGGACCTCTCGAATTCGCGTCGATTGTGCTACCGTTACACCACGAAGGCATGCTGGAAGGAGGGAGAAAATACCTTATAAGCGTTGGAGGCAAGCATTAACCTGTTATGACTAGTGATTACCGTATTTACTCGTGTAATAGTCGCACTTGTTTTGCCAATTTTTCATTGCGAAAGTCTAGGTGCGAATATTATGTAGGGAAATCTACTACACAGTATTGTACACTTTTTAAGGATTTTTTCCTACTTCAAAACGGGAGTGCGACTATTACGTGAGTAAACATAGTAGATGCATGCAGCTCAGAACGTTTTCTTCGGACGCATTCTGTTCAGAACTGTCATATAATGCTAACTAGTAACAGCCGTATACTCGAGCATTATATCTTAGAGCATTTTATGATAGTTACGAAAGAAATAACCATTACTTCCCCCCCCCTGATTTGTGATTTCTAGGTTCTGCTAGCCTGTTTGTTTTCAGGATTTTACTCATGCAATCAACATTCATCGCTAGTAATTTGTATTTTAAATATGCCTCACTATGCTTGGGAATCAGACTCACATAATTATATATTGCATCATAACTCAATAATAATCACGATATGTACGTTAAGTTTTCGGTACATATCTACCTCCACTTGATTCTGTTTAAGGGATAGCATCTTTTACAGATGGCTATCTCCTACAGACATCTATCTCCTACAGATGTTTGTCGGGTGCAGGCGATCATGCAAAATAATGAATGAGCTACAATGAGAAATGCGTAACATCTTCACGAGTCTATTCACTGCTACTCGGCGATCATCTCGAATTACTTTATCAGCTGTGTTTATCATAATGTCATTAACTGCTCTACTACGAACACCCAAACCACTTTTCTTTGAAAATGAAAGCACAGCCTTCCTCAAAAGTTCTGAACCATTGAAAGCTGTCGTTTTTCGTAAAACATGTTCTTCGTATGTTTAGAGGAATATGACAAGTGGATTACAAAACTCAATACTGCATTATGCCCATCGTAAATAAACTCCATTTTCTGTAGACGAATAAATGCAATTTTTTGTTTTATTGCATTGCCCAAGTTATTTAATACATCACCCCATCCCAAACAGATAGTATCCGAGATTTATTTCGCTGCTGCATATCGTATGAGTGTTAGAAAATAAATTCAATCTTTTAATTAGCCTGCTTAAGTAGATTTGCAAGTTTTATAATCACATCCCTAATAAAAAAAAAATTATGTTTTTAGCCAAAAGTCATGAATCAGTTTTTTTTTTTTTTTTCAGTTAACTCTTGATATTTTTAAACTCAGATGTAAGATTTCATATGCCATTTTTTAACCTCAAGAAACCCTTGGAATACAGACACTATGGATAAGAATGGAAGTTTCAAAAATTACGAAAACGTATTGAAAAACTTGGAGATGAATACGAATATGTGAAGAACATCTGCATAATGCCTTTTATGATGATCAATAAACGTCCTCAATATTTTTGAGGTCTTAAATGCGGAAAGGCTGGCAGCTATTATGAATGTAATGCATAAAAGGAATTAAATATATCGAGAAATCTTGAAAGGAAGTCATTCCGAATTGTTCTAGAGGCTTAAGTTAAGACTGCTTAATTTTCTCCAAATATTAATATTTCTTTCTGTGAAACTATGGAATTTTTTAGTAATCCTCTTTTAAAAACCTTCGCTAAATATCGCTTCAGTTTTATACTACAAAACCGCTCACTGGTAAACTAATATTATTGCTATTATGAACTTTCTTTTTATGGCGTCTTGCTGAACGTACACTGAAAAATGAAAATTTGAGTAATCATGCACACAAATTATGATTCGTCAGTACGGGACGAGGCGCAAGCTCACGCTTTAGAAAATATTAGATTGAATTTTTGGCATTTCACGCTTCAAATTGCTCTACCAAAGAGGAGAGTTTCTGAGGATTAGATTCGTCTTCTGACGATAGAGTTGTAAATAAGATAACATCATTTGGCACGGTCTTTACAAACTACATTCGTGTTTGCTTTGCCAGTTCCATAGCGGTATTTACTACTATACAATGTTTATAAAAAGTAAATTGCAACTGTTGTGAGACTTGTATTTTTAAAAGTTAATTAAATGGATTTCAGCCTTTCATAGGTAAAATTCTCCAATAACTGAAGATAATTCATTTGGAATTTATGGTAAACATACTTTACAAACTTTGAATTAAATGTTTTATTTTCAGTAAGTTAAAAATGGTTTCTCATTTAGTTATTCTGTTAACATTCAAAATTAAAATTTCCAACCATTAAATTAATAACTAACATTCAATTAAATCTGATATTACCTCTGTTAAGGATATTAATTAATACTAGAGTGTGTGTGTGTGTGATTATGGCAAAGCCTCGAGGGCTATCTGCCTAAGGGGAGGATGCCTAAGGGAAACTGGCTCGTATACACGTTACACATGGGGAAAACCACGAAAACGCCCATGCAGCCAGCCCGTTCGCGGGATTCGAACCTCGGACCGAACTACCAGTGTTCAGCGACTTTACTGCTCGGCCGCTGGCATTAATACTAGAGAATAATCTTTTGAATTTTCATTAAAGAATTGTAAAATAATTCTTTGAATTTATAAAAGGAAACCCTATTGATGCTTTAATATAACCTTAAATATTTGCTTATATTAATGTCTTTATTATATTATTAAAATAATTAATTTGTGTGGAGTAATTAACTTGTGAAATACACAATGAAAGATTTTTACAATAAAAAATATCCTTATTATAATATTATTAAATTAGTTAATTTGTGTGGTGTAAATGAACATATGAAACATATAATAAAAAATTTTGCTTATCCCAATATGAATTTAACACACTAATAATTTTTACATGTGCGTTTAGGATATATCATTACTTTTATAATTATTACAGCTTACAGATTTCAATATAGAAATTATTGTTTTAGTTTAGAATACGAGTTTGTTACATCGCTAACTATGAACTTTTATTTTTCGTTTTAAATGCTTGCAAAATTTTTATTTCAGTCATTTAGAACAATTAGAGATTTGAATCAACTTGCAGCAGTTTTCTAAACACACATAAGTGAAACAATTTTATTTCCATAGAAATCTTTTACTTTCGGCTTTAAATGCAAGCGTCAGTATTCAGCTCGCATTTAATCAATACGGGTATCATGCTTAAATATTCTGTTAAATGATTGTGTTTATAAAGATTATCGTGTCCATGAAGCCAATAGTTCACATACGGTTTGTACAATGCAGTACCTTTTACTTTTTTAAGTTTGATTTAATTATTTCTGCATTATTGGCGAAGTTTCATTACTAGGATGCTCAGGTTAATGCACAGGTAAATGTGTACTTTCCATTAAAAAAATAAAAGAATAAAGTATTTAACCATAATTTATTTTACAAACATTTAATACATGACAAATGAATACTGGCTTTCAAAAATACACAACTTCAGAAATATGAGACCAAATATACAAAGTATAGAAAATATGTTACAAAAATAGTTATTTGAATTATATTTATCAAAAATACGTCTCCGTAGTAATTTACGAAATCACAATATTATAAATTAGCTCCTTGATTCATCATATATCGACACAAAAAATTTGAAAAATTTCCCTAATATTTAATTTTTATGAAACATTTATAATAATAGTATATACACAATCTGCTTTAGAAAAATATACTTTAAAAAACTTGATTGAAAACAAAAAGAAAATTATTTCATTAAAACACATTATTTGATACTGTAATGACGCATTTGAGTGAACCAAATGTCTGTTAACAATTTGCTATTGTTTACTCTAAATGCGCGATTTGGAAGATATTTAAATGCTATTCTACTTTTGTACTTTCTCTTCAAGATTAGGAAGCTTTAAGGTACTCTAATAATGGTAACTGGGGGAAAAATGCAGCTTTTTCATGCGTTATATATTAGTTGACTGAAAGTTAGACACAGGTTTTAAGTTACTCATGACTTGGACTTATTCTATTAATGAGCAATTCTGTTTTAATATGCAGTTATCTGTACAGTAGAAAACAATGATAATTTTCACTAATTTCTACGTGGCAAATAAGTATTGCACATTTTATGTACTCTATTTAATGAAAAAAAAAATTGGATCTAAAAATTTATAACTTATAGTAATTTAATTCGAATTCTGCATTATTTTTTATACTTCTGATACTTTTCGATCTTAATTTTTATTAGTTTTCAGCTTTTAGTAGTTCAGATTACTCTTTTGGAACCATTTAAACTACAGGAAGCTCGAATACTAGCAGATCTTTTTATCATTATTGTATTTTCCTGTGATTTATATTTTTCTTTTATCAGTTAATTATAAAAATATTTTTATTGTATAATTTGAAAGATTATTTTTATACCAGAACACAATCCCCTTCTATTACCGACTTCTAGTTGAATAATTAAAATACTGGATAGATTGTTTTCTCAAGTTAACGAAAGTCTATTAATTTCTTTGCTTTTCATTTTGTGTATAATGAGCTTTCAAGATCTAGAAAAGGAATGGGAGATTTAAAATATATTTTTCGCTTAATTTTGTAAATTTGTATTAAGTGGGATTAATAAAAAAAGTATGTATCGTGTTGTGTGTATAAAAACAACATCAAGTTGCATTTTATATGTAAAGTAGTTGAAAACGGAATTTTAACTACCATGAAGCAAATTAATTAAATTTTTAAAGAATTCATTGTATTTATCGACAGGCATTAATTGAGGGAATTTAAATAACATTTGCAATAAATACTGTGTAATTTATTGATATAAAGATTGCTATGTACGTTTTTAAGTGTCGAGTTTCTCCTATTTCGTTCTTACACTGATCTTGCCTCATGCTGTAAAATTCAAAAATCATATAACATGCAAATCCTTTCATATTTTACAAAGAAATTAATGAAAGCTAAAAAATCGGTCACATTTTCCTCTTTAGGCTTTAACGAAGACATTTCCGTCTGCGGTTGCCATAACGAATACAAAACTTGAAGTTACTCATTTAGTAAATTCCTCAGCGAATCTTTTTTTAGAATTTTAGTGTCATATTTCTTTCATAGTGAAAACTGATTTAAATGACTACTTGTAACTTCAGGAAAAAGTACAGAAACGAAAATCACAGTTATTCAAACTACTACTATGCTTAATCTATAGCACAGTTCAGAGATATTGTCCAGAGATAATAGTCGCTGGGAATGTTTTGTTCTTTTGGCATTAGCAAGGCACTTCAAACCCAGAGACAATTTAGCCATTGCCTCTTTGAATGCCATAAATAAATTCATATCTTCAAACTCATGTTGTCCAACGGAATATGGACTAGACGTCAAAGTTCATGAAGATAAGCAACTGACTTTGTCGTCAGATTTAGATGACATCTCTTGATGAGAAAAATGCGAAAATATGAGCTGATGTGAATGAAGGTGCTACAATTGGTATTTAAATAAAATGATTATCAATGAAGTTATGACTGGATAAAATGCTCCTCACTCCAAATCTTTGGCAGCATGAGATGAAATTAATGACGAGTGACGCTGCTTTCAAAACCTGAAATGGCAAAAACAGTTGCATTAAATTTTACAAAAATGTTTTGTTTTCTTTCAATTTATTTTTCAGATTATTATTATTACACTGCAGTGATATTTAGCACAAAGTGCGTTGTTCTTAATATCACTGACTTTTTCCCTTGGTTTTTTATTAATAATATCTTATTTTTGAATTAGTATACAGTGAGAAATATAGATTAGCTATTGACTTTCTGGGATAGTTTATTTTTTAAGACAAATGAACTGCAAATTAATTTAAATAAACTGTGTTTTAAACTGCAATGTATGTGCACTACGTTTCATGGATGTAATTTTCGGTTACATATATACAACTTTTTTTATGGAGACTTGAAGAGATTAGCTTCTGGATTTTAATACACAAAACTGATTCATTTAAATTTTTTAAATAGTTTCTTTAAGAAAAGAGATAATTTTATTATAAAAGAAATTTTAGGGAATAACTTATTTCAGCTATTTTAAACTAATCTGCCAATTTTATTTCTTACAATTCTTACCTCATAAGTACGTTTTCTCGCTGATATTTGCTTCTTTGATTTCCTCTTCTGCAGGTGGCCACAAGGCAACACTTGTATATACGTTGTTTAATGTTTTCAAAACCAAGGAACCTTTAATGGCGTCAGGCTTGTACTAAAGAGAAATAAAAAAGAGTGGTTTAAGACATTTATTTTTCTCCTTTATTAGCAAAAGCTTTTGTTTGATTGTTATTGCATATAATTCAAATCTTTTACTACAAAAATGCAAAGAAATTTGCATTCATATTTCATCTAAAATGACTTTTAAAAGTAATTAATTTTATGTAAAAGTTAGAAAAGACTTAAATGAAAAAAAGAAAATCACTTAAAGAATGGCCGCCGATTACATTTGCATTAAAATATTCTTCTAGTGTAAAAAGTATTAACAACTGAAATCAACTTCTCTTTGAAAGATGAATCTGCCTTGCGTGAGATTCTTTCGGACAAGTGTGAAATCAGTTGAAGAATTTCATATATATTACATTACGTTAAGGTTATTTAATCTTCCATTAATAAACGCATTTATGGAATCTTCTAGAATGTAGTTTTTAATCATCTGGGAATATTTACGTCCAGAAAAGATAGAATTTTGGTTAAAACTAAATCTAATTACCTTAGCTTTGATACATATAAAGAAGAATACAGCAAATGTCACCCAGACTGCACCAGTAGCTATAGATGCTATACATATCACTTTAAAGACTATAAGTGGAGTCTGCACACGAGATTTGAAATAATTCGCAAAATATGCATCCAGCTGGGCTTCCTAAAATAAATAAAGATAACGTCAATTATTCTTTGAAATAATTGATTTATTTTCAATATTAAGTTTTTGTGCATCTTGTACAGAATGAATATTACAAAAGTGATATCAGTTTACCTCGCTCATCCAAAGTACAGGAACAATATGTTCAGATACATTCTGTAAGGGTATATATTCTGGCAATCTTCTTGTAACACCATTTAGTTGAATTTTAAAAGCAGCATTCAATACAAAGCCTGTATTCTGGAAATAAAATCATTTACATTAATAACAGTAATGATTTACATATGCGAAATACAATTAAAACATCAAAATACTAGGAATAGGATTTATTTGAAGCTTAAAATGTAGGTTTATTGTAAGTTAGACGTAAGTCTTCGAATAAATTTCAAAGTATCTAAAGTACTTAACATATATTAACAACTTTTAATTCACAAAAGTTTTAAAACAAACTATGAGTCATTATAGCTCCTTACGAATTGACGTAAGCTTTACTTATAACACAGATCATTATTCATTTTTTACTTAATTTTTTTCTGTATGATTTATTAATACAAATTCGGCCCTTAGATAATCCTTTTATTTGAACGTCGTATACTAATTCAGTATTAAGGAAAATATCTTTGAAGAATGTCAAAAATTGTATCATACAGTGAATTACAGCAGACATATTGAAATGTTACGTGTTCTTAGTAATGGCTTAGGAATTCGTGAGCTTATATCTTATCTTAGTTGCATTTGTGAAACAGTAAAATATGCATAGTTTTTAAAAGTCATTTAGGGACAACTTAAGCTCATTTTGTCATTATAATTTTTCGATTCTAATCCTCATTATTTAAATATAAAAGGAGAAAAGGTAAAAAGGAAAGAAATAAAAACAAAAAACAATACCCAACAAACAAAAGAACACAGCGTTTTTCAAGCAAATTTTTATATCGTTTAAGAATTAATTCGATTGCTCAGAAAATTCTCTTGATTTCTTTAAACTTGTCTCCCGATTTTTGTGTTTGTTGGGTTTGTATCTCTAGTGCAACGGCTTCTACCACCTTATTGTCATACAAAATTCTGACTTCATGCTGACGACGTGTGTAACTTTCAACGCCAGTTTAAAGGCATTATTACCGAATTCTTATCCTCCAGACTCTGTCAATCATCAGCTGTCTGAGACAGAATAGAGATGAATACTAAACACAAATTCTTTACTTCAAATAGATTTTGTGTCACCCTGCTGCAAGCGTTCACGACGAGGATTCCGTATTAGTGGTAGTTTTCACAAAGAACGGTTGAATTTCAAATTTACCTTAGAAATCTGTTAATATTGGAGCATTGAAATGCTTTTAAACACTCTGAAGAATGTCACCAGTTATATTGCTTTTGCATGACTGTTAAGACTATGCATTGTCATGTTCGTTCTTGTCCTTCAATTTTAGTATAACGAACTCTATTTTTATCCCAACAACTGTCTCCAGATCTGACTACAGCTGTTGTATGTTGAGTTACTACCGCAATACTAGACCAAGTAGGAAAAGGAATTTCCTTATCCGAGAGAAATCTCAAAAGTTCGCCTAGCCAATTAGTTTCCCCTCTTATCACGTTGTCAAATTATATGATTAATGGAAACTGCAGCAATTCGAATAACTGCTAGCCTAAATATACTATGGAATTTGCGTAATGCTGTCCTGCTACAAAATTTTTATGTTATTGCAGTCTATTTAAGAAGCAATGGATATATCGATATATCAAAACTAAAACATTTATCAGCTTCTTTCCGCTGCCTCATATAAGAGGATTTTCCACCACGAGAAACATTTAGAAGGAAGATAATAATAAATGATTTTTTTATTTCTCTAACCAATGGAAGAATGTGAATCTATCGGAAGTGCCTTGTTAAAAAAGGTATGAGAAAATTACTTACTGGCTCAATATCAAGATATGTTTTATGCTTCGCTTCAGAAGGATGCACGCCTTCAACGGCAGTCTGAAGCTCCTTATCACAATGTAGCAAATGGGGCAATGATATGACGTATGGAGCACCTAAGAATAAAACAGAATATTATTATTATTATGAGTAAGCAAGTTTTAGTAAACGTCCTAAAATGAGGCAGTCTTCATTCCATTTTAAAGAAATTTCCAGCAAGTGACATAACAATTATTAAAATATTCTTTCAGATCTATGATTATATTTTAGTACTCATTCTTTACTTAAATTCAGTTAAATGCAATAGCGGTCTTAGTCAAATTTTTCTTCAAATCTGCTTTTACAGAGATATATGAAGACGAGATACGCAATACTTTTCCAAAGATCTTACTTGATTTTAATATAAAATTTCCCTTTTCGGAAGCACATATAAGACGTAAAAATGATATGGGAAGCATTCTGAAAATTTAATCCAATGTAGGAGTGTTGTGTGTGTACTTTAAGCAACAGAAAAAAAATATAAAGTCATCAAAATTAATAATAATCAATTGCTTCAATTTTTTAATTTTTTTAATTTTATTTTTTATTTATTTGGGGGACATACAAAATTGAATTATATATTGACAAAAATGTTTGATAATGTTTTCATGCAATTTGTGACAATAAATCGCGTTATGAAATTTCCTTTTTCGGAAGGAGGATTTGAAGCTCCGTTTTGTCTCAGGATTAGCACTCTCATTGTGACTGGGAAGTAATTCAAGTTCTTTTCCCGCTAATTTCTTAATCTTCGGTCTAATTTCAGGTTTAAAACTAGATCATATAGCCTAAAAAATAATAAGTTTTCTATGGTGAGACAGAACCCTGAGTTTCTAAACGCTTTGACTCTCTTTTGTATTGAAATCATTGTAAAACTCATATATTAAAGGCTGATAAGATTTTTTAACAAATTCGGCGTAAAATATTTCAATAAAACTAAACTATGGTTTAAATTGAGCAGTTCTTTCATATTTAATTCAAAAATCTCAATTATATACCATAAATATCGAAGCTTGCAAAGGATTTCTTGAATTTGCAGAACCTACACTTTTATCTATTTCAACAATAATACCGGATTTAAAACAAATTTTATCACTGCAGACTGGGAACAAAAATTTTATCGGAACGGTACAGGAATAAAGGTTGCTTCAACTGGTTAATCATTTTCATGATGCAAGAAATTGTATTACACTCGATAGTCCTAACTAATTATCGCGCTATTTGAATACGCTTTAAGTGAGATCTTCCGATAATAGCCTAATTACAACATCATATTTTATGCACAACAAAGTTATTCATTACAATTACTACACTATAATTCGTACCTTTTTTGCAGTTCATCGGAATTATGCCAGAATGACAGTTGGGGCCCTGGCAATAGCATTTGTTGTCAGGATTAATATCTCCGGAGAAAAAAGCACTAGCTGGCATCCCGAATCGTAGAGTCTTGATTCCGTGAACTGTAATGTCTTTCTCATATTTCAAAGGTATTGATCTGCATAAGTTAGGATTGAAAAGCTTCAAAGTTTGATTCCTTGTAACACCTGGAGCATACTGTACGCCGTCTGTTAATGAAAAAGAACTGGTTAATGATACATGAAAAAAACCAAAATACAATAAAATTTCTTTAATTGCATAATGAGAGTGTTTGTAGGGCTGTCGTAGAGAGAGTGCTTAGAGGGCTGTCGTAGAAGTTTGACTCATAAGCGCATTAATTTATTTCTCTCTTACCTCCCCCCCCCCGAGAAAATTTTAATGTAATAGTATCAAGTTGTAAGGTAGTTAAAGGAGGTATAACAGTGCTGAAAAACATTACAGCGAAAGCGAAACTTACCTGTTCCGTTGATTTGGTTGCAGTATTTATCATCCCACCAGTCTACTGAACTAAAAGAAAAGAAACATAAATAAATATATATATTTACCAGAACTCATGAGACATGATTAAGAGACTATTTAGAATATGCACATAAAGTTTTGAGGACAAGTGCATCTGATTTAGAAATTAAGTCTATAACAAATGATATGGTATAGTAAATTTAATATTTGCATCTTTTATGCATTACAATGTGTGCTAAAAGAATTCGATACCATAATTTAGGAATTATTGCAATCTAATTTTAATTCAAAATTTACTCTCCTCTTATCGAGAATAATAAGCTTGAAAATTATTAAAAGTGTTTAATTTTATTATCAAATTTTATGTGAGAAATTTATGCTTCGGTGTGAAGGGGATTTATCTAAGTTCTTGCACATATATTATAAAATTCATTACGACTTACACAGGTTCTGTAAATTTTTTAGTTTACATATCTGGCTGTTTCAAATGTGACAAATTTATACTACGTAAAAGCTATTTAAACCATTGAGATAACTTTTTACGTGCTCCACCCTTAGACACTACACGGAAAGGGAGGGATGCCTCGTGGAGGTCTTTTTAAGGGAAACTGGCTCGTGTCCACGTTATGCATGGGCATGGGGAAAACCACGAAAGCGCCCAATGCAGACAGCCCGTTCGCCGGGACTCGAACCCTGAACCGAACTACAAAAGTTCAGCGGCTTTTACCGCACGGCCGCTGGTGGGCCAAGCCGCCGAGATAATCGATTGTTTTCTTTGCATTCATGACAGAACATGAATATAGAAAACTGCGAGAACTTTGAATTATCGGGTTGTTGGAAACTAAAGAAACGCGAAACTAATTATCAGTGTCTGGTTATCTTATCTGTTTACAAATTGGTCACCGACTTTCCTAAGGGGAGGGGGTCATTGAATGGAATTTTCAAATTTAATTAAAATTTGTTCGGACTATTCTATTCAAATTTTATTAATTTTAAATTATGAACGAATTCATAATTTAAGGAAAGGAAGAAGAAGGAAAAAAAAAAAAAATACAGAATCAGCATTATTAAGGAATTATTTAAAGGGCTTGAGTAAGCTTTAACTTTAATTAGTATATTATTTTTCAACTTAAGAAATAGTTCGGTAGGCAGACGAATTGTTACGCAAATACAACTCGGTCTCACTTTTATCTCTGCTTAACTTTCAGTTAAACTGGGAAAAAAGTAGCGTTTCTCCGAGGTTAATCACATTTTGAGGACTTGTTCTTTGATGCTTTGTGAAAAATATTGAAAGTGGACCGCCTGCACCTTGAACTCAGAAAAGTTCAGTTGTTATCGCATGAGGGGCAAAGAAAAGGGCGATAGAGCTAAATTAGTGCAATACAATGCCATGATAGAACAGGTTATGTAATCTACTCTTACTTGCAGTAACCGAAGTAAGAATGCTAGTTTGCGGCTAGCTGACAAATTACGAATATTAATTCATATTTCATGAAATTTCATACGAAACCGAAATTTCTGTTAAAGCCTTTAGGAATTCTCAAAATAAAATAAAGAATAAAATAAAAATAATATATAATATATATATATATATATATTTATTTCCTAAACAATATTGATTAATTGATTATATTATCTAAGTTTAATTAAAGTAGAATTATTTTAAAAGAGTGAATCCATACTGGTAAGTTATATTTTGAAAGAGGTTTTGCAGTAATTTGAAAGCAAAATGTTAATAATGTTTTAACGGGGACTGGAGTTAAATCATCATGAAGAATAAAATTTCAATTGTAAAAGGAAAACAATTAAAAACATGTAATCATTGTCATTGATCGGGACCAGCGGCTGAGCGGTAAAGTCGCTGAACACTGGTAGTTCGGTCCGAGGTTCCAATGCCGCGAACGGGCTGGCTGCATGGGCGTTTTCGTGGTTTTCCCATGTGTAACGTGTATACGAGCCAGTTTCCCTTAGAAAGTCTCCACAAAAGGCATCCCTCCCTTTAGGCAGATAGCCCTCGAGGCTTTGCCATAATCACAAACACACACATTGATCGGAAATTAGTTGACTTTTCAAGGGGAACAAACCAACTCCCGTTCAATGAACAATAATTGATAAAAATACGTAAATACGAAGGTGTTTCGTCTTTACTCGGGTTATAAGTTCAAGCCAAACCAGCAACTCTAGTCAGGCCAAATATTTCCGCGAATAGAAGGGATTATGAACCAATGCTGATACTCAAAGAATTTATTCTTATGAAGCATTTTAGTCAATTCAGTTTGGAGTAAAAAGCAATTTCTGTAGAGAAATCCGAAATAACCCGAGTAACCGTCCCCGACACCTTCATGTTTATGCATTTGAGTTCAATATTATTTGTAAAAATTGGAAATTGTCATTATGAAATCGAATTCAAAGTAAAGTTGAAATAAACATAGAAGATTACAAAATAAGATAAATAATGCAAACTTTGTAACGACAAATCAAAGACAATATAAAAATAATATAAAAAATAATGTATAATAAGAACAGTGAATGTACATGAAGATATAAAGGCCAGAAAAGGTATTAAGTAACTTACATTCTTTCTAACATACATTATATATATATATTTGTTTCAAAAGAAAAAATAAGTAGTAAAGTTAAATTTAATTTAAATAATTCTCTAATTAATCATTTATTTGTTTGCATTAAATTTCATTATTTAACATTTAATTAACTTTAAATTTGTTTTTTACGAATAGAGAATGTTTGTTAGATATACATATATATTGAATGATCTAAAATTCACTGAGTTCTATATATGTAATAAAAATGTTGCAATTTATTCTGGACTTCTGTTTTATCTAGTATTGAGAATATTTTGTCGTATGCAGTGGAATTCAAATAAAGCAAAATTACTTTATTCACTCTTGCATTGCATCGAATTTTAAGGTAATGGTTAATTTTCACTTCAGCTAAAAATTCAATTTCTAAATAATAAATCGAGAAAATTATCGAATAAAATTCTAAAAGAAGTAAAATTCAGTACGCGATCTATTGTTTAAGCTTTAAAGATTGGGGTTCAGTTATCAATTTTTTTTTTTTTTTTTTTTTTTTTTTTAGTCTTAACACTAATTCTGCTTTATTTTAGCCCAAAGCGGGTTAAGCCCAGATGGTCTATTAATTTCATTTTGGCATTTAGTGTTGAAAACTTTAAATGTCCGTTTCACTTTTCAAATTGTTGCCACCAAATATTATCCCTGTGTTTTATTTAAATAAATTAAATAATGAAGAATCTGCATAAATGTATTATGTCTCTCTCGTTGTGATAAAACAACGCTACCTAAAGCCATCAAATTTTGAATAATATAATTCTCTACCGAATATGGGCATCTGGAAGCCCCAATTTGGAATTTGTTTTATTATCGATTTCATGTTTTGTAACATTTTAACGAATTTTTGATTAACAAACTCAATGATTTCAAAGCGAGCAATGGCAACACTATACGAAAAAAAATTATCTCCAGATATATGATCCATCTATTATATATATATATATACATTTAATTATAAAATTTTTAAACTGTTTCCTCAGAAAAATGAAGAGATCTAAATTTAATTGAGAATGTGCTTTCAATTTACTTTCATCGCAAAGATGAAAGGATGAGTTATTGCTATTGCGTGTGTGTGATTATGGCAAAGCCTCGAGGGCTATCTGCCTAAGGGAAGGGATGCCTTCGTGGAGGGCTTTCTAAGGGAAACTGGCTCGTATACACGTTACACATGGGGAAAACCACGAAAACGCCCCTGCAGCCAGCCCGTTAGCGGGATTCGAACCTCGGACCGAACTACCAGGGTTCAGCGACTTTACCGCTCGGCCGCTGGTAGGCCGTTGCTGCTATTGAATGAACGACAAGTTAATTTCTTCTCATTAGTAGTATAAATATTAAAGAATTTCTGGAAGTTTTTGTCTTAGATCAGTTTAAGGGCAAAAACACCTGTCAATTTGTCTACCGGTATCAATCATTACGAATCTACTGCCATTTAATATATGCGCTGGCTCTCTGCTGTGAAGAACATAATTTCAGAAATATACGTTTAATTATTTACCTTTGATTATTCCATTCTTGGATGGAGGCATAATCATCAATTCCATCGAGTCCAGACTTAATTCTGAAGTAGCCGTCACCAACATGTTTCCTCTAAAAGCAGAAATCTTTAGTCAGAAAACTTCAAATAAAATCTTTCGGTTCTTTTCATACGAAAATTTCATTCGAAATATTATTTTTGCAATAGTATAAATTTCACACTACAGCAATTGATTTTATTGTACATAACATTTTAGCAGTTTTCGAATGTTTACGGCATAAATGCACGAAGCGCTTATTAAATTTAGAATTAAAGTTACAGGAAATGCATATTAATTCCAGAGCAAATTCTTAATTCTTCGTATATTTTGCTTCAGTTATGAACCCTTTATAACAGGCCCGTCTAATCTGGATTGGATTGGATTATTCAACTATGGCAAAGCACACGAGGGCTATCTGCCTAAAGGGAGGGATGCCTTCGTGGAGGACTTTCTAAGGGAAACTGGCTCGTATACACGTAACACATGGGGAAACGTCTAATCTGAAAATTTAGTCAATTCTACAAGGAAATTTCTGGAAAGTATTAAGCATTCAATGCAGAGGGCATGAAAAATTAACTCTATCTTTGCCTTCATCTGAAACGCTGATCTTCCAGTAGCTAGCTAGATGTACATCATAAAAGCACGCACTTGCATCACAAAAGTACGCTCGGGAGAATGTCATAATTCCTTACTCTTGTAAATTGTGAATGTTTTGACATGGCTGTTATTAATATGAGAAGACTGTCAGAAAATAGTTTTCAAATTTTAATTTAATCCATTATTATATCTCACAAAAATAGTCCGAAAAGCATCAAACTTTATGAATAATTAGGCTCTGAAAAAGTCATTAATGTCTTTAAACGTATCATATGTTTGCTGTCTAAACCCTTTGATGCAGGGAGTTAATTAATTTAATTAAATTATATTAAGACTTCGTTTTAAAGATACTGACAGCTGATTAATATATTTTGCAGCAAAAAGGAATAATTTAGTCCAGTATAGGGGATATGCTATTACAAGAAATATAAAGTGGAGACTTGCCACTATAATTTGCGTCATAGAAGACGGCGCGAAAAGAAAAATTTCTTATCTCTGTTTCTCTATTCTCTAACTTTTATAGTATTTTTTAATCATAATTTTGCATTCTTTGTCTTTAACATCATTAAGTACTTATTTCATTACTTTTCAGTGAAAAAAATTATTAGTTACGTTACAACATTTACATAAAAATGTGTTTATTTTATGAATATCATTTACGAATTTATTCATGGAACTTTACCTCATGCAAAATGCCAAAAGTGTCGTTGATAAGCTTGAGCGGTAATGTAATGAATCCTTCCACGACTTTTGTAAGATCTGCAACCATTGGCTCGTGATATCCTTCATACACAATTTCTCGGACTGTTTTGTGGATAAGTAAAGTTTCATTGTAACTCTCGAAGATCCCATTCATCAGTTCTACGATGAATCCACGCAAAATGAAAGGAGCAAAATCTTCGACATAATTAATGACAGCCTAAGATAGAGTATTAATAAAATAAAATTATTAAATCAAAAATGGTTGTTAACTTCTGAAGAAGAAATCTAAAAATAGAATTAACTAGTACAATTTATGGAACTTATAGCTTTATTACCACTTGTAAATAATTTAATTTACAATAACTCTGCCTTAAGAATTTCCTTTCAATATACTGAATTAAAAAAAGGGTAATAAAAATAAAACTTTATCATCTTTTCTCAAGATTTTAGCACTCTCTCAGTGGCCTAGTTTTCACAATCCTTGCGTTCAAGTTGATGTCCTTATGTCGTTTTAAACTCTATTCTTTGTCGTGGGAATTAAAATAATAATCATTGTATATAGAGATATTTTTGGGACTAAATGAACTTTCTCTGTTCCTAACACGTATGTGTAAGTTTTACTTTTATTAGAATCCCGATTGATTTTTATATTTGCAAATTAGATGCAGTTAATAACTATAAATCGAATTACTGAATCTCATTTGTCCGTTTGGAAAATAATTAATTAACCCTTTAAAATCAAGCAGTAACAAGAAAAGTAGCCAAGAAAAGTTTTTACAAGCATGTTCATAGACTTTTACTGTGCATCAACCAGTTTACTGATTGAAAAGCTTGCTTTCCAGTCTGTATACTGCAATAATGTGATTTATGCTCATACATCACATATCGTTCTTACTCGAAAATAAGTAAGCTACAGTTAAAAGTATGTAACTTATTTTGACTTACGATAATTCTATACAGTATACAAGTATCAAGTGAATTTAAAAAAAAAAAAAAAAAAAAAAAACAGTAAGAATAATAAACTTACTAGAAGAGGGCCGTTCAGCGTGTATATTTTCTCCTCTTGATCTCCAAATGAAAGTTCAGGTACAAAAACATATTCCTTGACGTCTTTATAGGTTACTGTCCCATCATCCTCATTCCATTCCATATCTTCTTTCAGCCATCTTCCTCTTTAAAAATACAAAAATGAAAGAAAACTTTTATTAGTACCGAAAGCTTTACTTTCACTTAAATAGTTGCACCGCACAGTAGGGGTAAGGAAACTTTCCTTCAGCGTGAAACAAGGAAATAAAAAGCATTTCTTCGAAGGTAGTTCGTAAAATTGAAAAAAAAACACAGATGATTTTCATTACTGACATTTCATTTCAATTTGTGACATGTTAAGGCGTCTATAATAACAAAATCTCCTGCCCATAATTAATACGTAAGTGAATTGAAAAAAAAATTAAAGGATACTTTTAGACCGCATTTATAACTTACACCTTATTCTAATATGCTAGAATACAAAGCAAAATAAATCCTCTTAACAGTTTTCTCATCAATATGTTCAGAAAGTTTAAAATCTGATTTAATCGAAACTGAATTCAGAAAGTTAAACTTACCGAAATACGTAAGGCCCTAGTTCTTGTAAGATGGGTTTGTCCCCTTTCATAGTGAATTCTTCAGGATTGGTGATGTTAAAGATATAAATCTTTTGATAAATCGGAATGGGCAACTCTCTCCAGATTTCATAGAATTCAGTTCCTGGCATAAGTGTCAATTCCTGCAATAAAATAAGGCATACGAATATATAAATCACAATTTCTAAGCCATGAAAACTATTCAATAATATACGATTTAAATCTTTCTCGAAATCATTACAGTTAGTCTTTTTCTAAATTAAAAACTTGAATACATTTGAAATGTATTCATATTCCACAAACTTCTGCAATCAAATTGGTAATAATATTGTACAGATATATCAAATATTCACATGTTTGTTAAATATTTGACAACTCAGGTTAAATGTGATCAAGTCAGATGTGATTGTCGTTTTAAACTCTGCTTGTTTTAATCGATCATGCATCATGTAAAAAGCTTTTAGACATTTGATAAAGACATTTTTATTTATTAAACACAAATATATCATAAAAATTAAAGGTATTAGCTTTCATATCGATTGATCGTGTAGTAGATAGTAAATAAGTTAATGAGTTAACCAAGTTCGTAATTACACCCAAATGTAGAATTCCTTCGCCGCCACTGCATATCTGATAGTTAGTATTACAAAAAAAACAGAATGTATTTAACAAAGAATTTAAAAGAAATAGAATATAGATTTAACGTAGAATTAAAAAGCTTTTATCATCAGTCCTTTATTAGGCAAAGTTAGATAATAATATTGTTTAGAAATTTTTTAATTACTTTCATTGTTGGATGAGGCTTATTAATTTTGATTGATACGAAATGGAGGAAAATTTATTTGAAAATTAAAAATTAGGCAAGTGCTATACCCTATGCGCTCTCTTAAATTTTCCTCATATAAGAGAACATTTCAGTTTTTACAAAATTCTGATATAATTGTGTGTAGTGAACATTTCTTTCTCGTAAATATAGAAGTAATTTAACAAATAAACTGCATTATGGTTTGAATTAGGAATTTTGGAAATTTTTTAAGGGCAGTTTTTTAATATATCCTTTGGAAATATTTTTTTTTTCTCAATACAGTCACGGAAGCTCTACGGAATCTACGATATTACTTTTCAAAGCCAGGATGGATTTAAACTTGTTCTCAGACAACTGATGAATGAAAGTTCTCAGTTTGACAGCACAAGTGACCCCTGTATGACGTAAGTAAAACGTTTCTCTTCTCTCCTCGGGCAGTATTTCGAAAGGGAAAAGTTACGTGTCTCTGGCTTATCTTATCAAACACAATTTAAAATAACTGTATAAATCAAACAGAAATCTTACAGCATTTTCTTCTAGCTGCAGACATAAGTACTCTACATTTATAGTACACGTTTAATGGTTAATGCAAGGTGAATGTTCTGAGAAATCAGCAGTTTTGCAACATACCGAAAGAATGCAACGAATAAATTAAGAAGTCTAATAAATGAGGCATAAACGGCGAGGTCCTCGTTTATTTCCGTATTATTCCGAAATTTACATCATTAATTTTACTAATAAATAATTAACTGGGAATTCTGGAATACTTAAAATTATTTATAATGGTTTTAAGGAACAAATAGGGTAAAATAAAGACATGTGTATAAATGAAAAGGTATATAGAGGAGAATACGTAACCATGCTTATCCATTAGGAAAGTAGCTAGTTCTAACTTCAAAATTCCTGAATTTCTATTTTTAAACTTAGTATAGTAAAATTTGCCTAAAAAGCAACACGAAATTTGTCTTTTATGTGACAAAATGAAATGCAATGAGGTTTTTCATTGTTTTAATTGATACTATTACGATGCATCTAAAATCACTTCCAATTACATCATACCTTCCAAAATCTGTTATGAGAATAACAATAACAATGAAGTAGTAAAGATCTTTTTAAATGTCTTCTTACCAACTTTACAGTGCAAAAATTATAAAATATCATTTTCAGAGGGAAAAATTGTTTTATTTTGTATTTATATAATTTTTTTATGTGTTTAAGTGCATATGATGAAACCAATTCACTTTTAATCATGGCCGAAATAACTTTGCAGGTGATAGATATACTGGAATACCAATGATTTATTGCGTAGGTGGAATGATGGACTTTCAGACAAACGTGGTTAAATTCAACATAATTTTATTATTAGATAAAGCAGTTTTGGAGACACAATATTTGCTTCGTACATGATTATGGGTGCAATAGGCACCCCATAATTTGTTATACACAGCTTCCGATTTAGATAGTAGAAAAAGAAGCTAAGGCAGCTGAAGTGTTTTATAAGCCTGGAAATTCTTCGAGTTCTGTATAGCGATTGTGCAAGAGTTTTTGCAATACGGATTATATATATATATATATATATATTTAGACGAAATATTGCGGGCGTAAATGCAGATGCAAAAGTTTTAATTGGGAATTTAAAGGTCTATTAAATATTTTCCGATTTTATATTTTTATTTTTATATTTTACATATATATATATTCAAACTTGCACTTTCGGTCACTTTTGCTTTTCCTGTTAGTGAACTTAACGCAGAGCTGGGTGTACAATATCATTGTCTTCCACATCTCTAATATATCAGAATCGGAAGCTGGATTTTTATTTCATTAATCGGCCTTTTTGTTTCCTTTAGATTTTAGCATATCATTTCAAGCTTCATTTTAAGATTAGAAGTTCCAAGCTAACTGCAAGCATATGATACTCATTAAGGTGCAGAAAGAAACTTTTTCTGACAGCTAATTTTAAGGACTGACTGAAATAAAGTTTTGAACCGTCTTTTCAGTCTAGATCTGAATGCATAATAACTGGCAGAACGTAATGAAAAATATATATGATTAAAAATAAAATCTTTGCGGGACTGTTCTTGCAAGCTCAAGAAATAATATGCTTATTTTTAAAAGTTTTGGCTTCAGGACATGCAGGTTCTAGATCCAGTAAGCAGCTTTTAGTTTTGTATCCTGCGTCAAAGTCGATTACACGATGTAGCTTATTACTGGCAGCTGATAAAGCATTAATTTTGTTGACGACATTGCGTATGTTTTACTTTGCAGCTTATTAAGTTGTGACTCACAAGAGTCAATCGGATTTTTAATCATAGGCTATCGATCTATTTTCTCTAACTGCAAGCCAGATTAAAAAATTCATATAAAAATATGTGTTTCGAATAATACAGGGGAAATTGTTACAAAATGTTTTTGGAATTATGTAAATGTATTGAATTTAGATATGTTTTTTCCAGGAACAAAAATAAGCACATCAAAACAGACGAACAATTTTTGCATTGAAAATGAAAATATTAGTGAAAGAAAACTGATAACTCGTCATCAAAATTGAACATAGTAGTTGAGTCATACGCCCGCAGGTACTGTGTGAGAGTTAAATCTTTTAATTAACAATCATACATTTTTTATACATCGAATAACTTTATTTACAAAATTCAGTTTATTTAATTTTCATGGAGTTGTAGGATTGAATTTGCATTATTTCAATAGTTTGTGAATTTTTTTCGTAATCTTATGTTTAATAGTTCTTATAGAGAATATTTGCTTAACATCCTTCCTGACAATTCATTTTCAGTCCGAGTAATTAAATTCTATAACAACGCAAGGAAGGTTACTCAATATTGATTTAAAACATAATTGACTGTAGTTATATACATTCAAATATCGGCACTCCTTAGATTCTGCAATGAAATATTTAGTAGACAGAAGAGTAGCACAATAAATAAATGTAAAAAATTTGATCCCACTTAACGTTTCAGCCTCGTGTTCTAATGGCGTAAAGTATACAAGGCCTCCTTTTTTTTTAAAAAAAATCTTTGATTGCTTCTAATGTAGCATATATTTAATTTAGTTCACAAATTTTTTAAATAAATTCTATGCAAAGGAATATAGGAAGGAAAGTCATTCAGAAGATTTTCATATTATTCTGAAAATATCGTGCATTTAATACACCACAAATATGCAGCTTACTGTCATGTTCGCCTTCAAAAAAAGAACGCATTTAAAATTTTAAATCATCGTTTTTGCACACATCTCCAACGAATCAAGCAAAATGATTTACATAAAAGTTTTGATATTACACTCGTACTAATACTTTCAAATATATCAGTCTCCCCCCCTTACGAATAAAAAGAGTAAAAATACTGAATATTTATTCATTAAAGCTGCAGGAATTATCTTAAGTCTGTTAATGCCAAACTACGTATTCAAATATACTTTTTCTTTTTAGGTTGCTTCGCTTAATTAATTAAAAACTACCGCTCAGAAGGGGAAAAAAACTATAAGCATATGCGGCATCAGTACAGTAGTTTGATGATCGGCCTACTTGAGAAATTAACTCAAAGTTCGCTCCATTTTCAGTATGCTATACTTTCCCCATTGCGCTTCATGCAGAGACGAAATGATGATAGCGAATTTTAGATAGAACTGTCAACTAATGGAGATCGAATGTTGAGTAACTAGGTTATAACAGTCAGGCAATCAAATTTCTCTTGGGAAACATTTTTGTTCTCAAGTAACTTCGATGCAAGCAACATTTTTCCTCTAAATCTGCAGGAGATAATGAGAGATGAAAATTGGCATTTGCAATGAACTTTAAATTCGTGCTAGTGTCGAAAAGAATCAAATGTGCAAGTATTCTTTTTTTTTTTTTTAGAAAATGAATAAAAATTAAAGAAACTGGAATTAATTTAATTAGTTTGTCTTACATTAGCTTTAATCAGAGAGGAATATAAGCAAAAACTTATATTAATCAAACACTTAAAAAGTACAAGTATAAAAACTACTTTAACTTAACATATATTCCAGCATCATAACATGTAGATTACAATACTCAAAATGTATTTTGTCAAAATGAGTAAATGTAATAATTTAAAAGGATGCAACAGAAAAGAAGAAAGAAAAACATTGTGACATTATCTCCAAAGAACTTTACATTTATAGGAACAATTCACGAATTTTACAGGTAGCTTGCTACAAAGTTTATATGTAAAGTCAAACCCAGCGACAAACAAGTTTGTATCTGGGTTTGTTTGTAGATACAAACAAGTCTGTATCTACAAATTCGACACTCTATTCTGTGCAACGTCCATATATAAATTTTTTCGTGCTGGAAAACAT